GGTCCCGGCGTCCTGCAGCCCCTCCCGTGCCCTGTCCCGCGGTGCCGGTGTCACCCCGGCAGTGACGGGACGGTCCCGGGGCGGTGCCGGTGTCACCCCGGCGGTGACGGGACGGTCCCGGGGCGGTGCCGGGGGCGGTGCCGGGGCCGGGGGGGCGGGGCCGGGGGGCGGTGCCTGGGTCCCTCCGGCAGTGACGCAGCCGCGGTTCCGGTCCCGCCTCCCTTTCCCTCAGCAGCGAGGCCGCGGGTGCGCGCGGTGCGGGCCCGGGTGGGGGCCCTGGATCCCGGGAGGGGCCGGTGGATCCCGGGATAGGGCCCGGGATCCGGGAGGGAAGCTTGGGACCCGGGGAGGGGGGGCTGGAAGCCCGGGAGGGGCCCTGGGCCGCCGGGGACGGGACTGGATCATGCGGGAGGGCCCCGAAACGCGGGGTGGGGGCTGGATCCCGGCTGGATCTCGGGGGAGCGGGGCTGGATCCCGGCTGGATCCCGGCTGGATCCCGGGAGAGCGAGGCTGGAGGATCCCGGGAGGGGTGCTCGGGAACGGGGTTTGAGAGGCTTTGAAGGGTCGGGGAGCAGCGGGGCCGGCCCGGGGTGACGCGGCCGCCGCTCCCGCAGGTGAGAAGTGCCAAGATGCAGATCTTCGTGAAGACCCTGACGGGCAAAACCATCACCCTCGAGGTGGAGCCCAATGACACCATCGAGAACGTGAAAGCCAAGATCCAGGACAAGGAAGGTACTGGCGGGGCCGGGAGTGGCGGGGTGGCCCCGCGGGGGTCCCCCGGTGTCCCCAGCACGGTGATTCTGTCCCCCGGGGGTCCCCCGGTGTCCCCAGCACGGTGATTCTGTCCCGCAGGGATCCCCCCCGACCAGCAGCGCCTGATCTTCGCGGGGAAGCAGCTGGAGGATGGCCGCACCCTCGCAGACTACAACATCCAGAAAGGTGCTCCCCGGACCCCGGCGGTTTTTGAGGGGGAGTTTTTGGGGTTCCAGCAGCCCCTTTACCCCCGTTGTGACACCGATCTCTCCTTGCAGAGTCCACCCTGCACCTGGTGCTGCGCCTGCGAGGGGGGATCATCGAACCCTCCCTGCGCCAGCTGGCCCAGAAGTACAACTGCGACAAGATGATCTGCCGCAAGTACGTCCCTTTGTCCCCTCCCCGTGTCCCCTCACCCCCTCCCTGCAGCCCCCCGCTCCCAGATCCCCTCCCCAGGGTGGGGGCTCTGCTGACCTGTCCCCCCCAGGTGCTACGCCCGCCTGCACCCCCGCGCCGTCAACTGCCGCAAGAAGAAGTGTGGGCACACCAACAACCTGCGCCCCAAGAAGAAGGTCAAGTAGAGCCTGCAGCCCTGCCTGAACTGGCCAATAAAGTGTTGCAACTCTCAGCTCTGTTTTGTGGTGGTTTTTCAATAAATGGGGGGCTGTGCTGGAGCAGCACAGGAGGGTGGGGGGAATGGGGTGGGGTGGTGCTGGTGCTCAGTGCCTGCAGCAACGTGTGCACGGACTGGGACCCCCCCTGCCCACCCATCATGGGCATTGGGACCTGGCCAGGGACTGGACCGGCACCAGGACCACACACAAACCCCCCTGCTCATGCACTCAGACCCCCCAGTTACGGGGTGACTGTCACCAGGACCCCCTACACCCCCCAGCTGTGGGGCGACTGTCACCAGGACCCCCTACACCCCCTGCTCATGCACTGGGAGCCCTCTGGTCACTACTGCAGGGTCTGGACAGGCTCTGGGACCCCCGGCCATGTGCACACACCCCAGACAGGCACCGGGACCCCTCCGGTCACCAGTCCCGGGATGTCCCTGTTACACTGCAAACACACCGGGAGCCCCCGGCCGCGTGTCCAGGGACCGGCACCGGGACCCCACTGCATCCCCCCCCCATCCACCGCGCCCCCGGCCGTGCTCTCACAGCACGGACGGTACCGGGGGCCCGGGACACGGGCCCGGGGCTGGCGGCGCTGCCGGTCGGTGCCTGCAGGTGGCGGCGGAACCGCGCTCCGCCCCGCGGGCCCCGGGCCTGCGCCGTGCGGCCGGGCCGGGCCATGGTGAGCGGCACCGGGAGCGGGACGGGAACGGGAACGGCCCCCGGGGGACGGGAGGGACGTCCCGGGACCGAGCGGGTCCGTGCGCGCGTGGTCGCGGGGGGGTCCCGGGGCCGTGCGTGGGGGATCCCGGTGCTCGTGTGTGTTGTGAACCGGGGGATCCCGGTGCCGGTCCGTGGACACGTGGCCGGGAAGGTCCCGGTGCCCGTCGGGGGTGTGTGAGCACGGCCGGGGGTCCCGGTGCCGCTCCGGGCATACGTAGAGAGGGGTCCCGGTGCCCATCGGTATCGCGGGCACGTGTTCGGGGGGTCCCGGTGTCAGTCCGGTTCGTCCCCCGTGGCCTGGGGGGCCCGGTGGGTGGGCAGGGGGATACGAGGGGTCCCGGTGCCGGTGCTGGGCTCAGCTCAAGCACCGCGGCCGGAATCCACCCCCAGAACCGGTGCTGGGCAAGGACGCGCTGCCCCAGCACTGGGCTGATCCCCCTGGGCGGTACCGGCTCTGCCCGGAGCCCGTTACCGGGTCACCGGTGCCACCGTCCCCCTGTGTCCCGCAGACGGGCGAGGCCGTGCGGGAGCTGCTGCGGCGGCTGCGGGCGCTGCAGAGCGAGCGGGTCCAGACGTACCGGCTCTTCGAAGAGTGAGTACCGGCGCCGGGACCGGGACGGGCCCCCGGGGGGGCGGCACCCACCGGGGCGGGGCACCCCGAGCAGGGAAGCGGATCCCTCATCCCGGTTATTATGTGCATCCTGTTGGGACGGGGCCGTGGGGGTGGCTGATGAGCTCCAGCTGGCAGCGGGGCTCTGCGCTGGACACCTGAATCCTGTTAGAGCATCCAGCAGACGATGCAGGGTTGAGAGTGGAAAAAACCCAAACCCCCAACTTCCCCCCCCCAAAAAAAATCAGTTTCCAACCCTGTCCCGTGTGAGAGGTGAGGCTGCCTGGTCTTGCTGCCAAATCCAGGCAGGAAAACCCTCCTGGTGGTGGGTGGCAAAGGGGGCTCAGCTCCCCGGGTGTGGTGACAGTGGCTTCTCCTCCCCGACCTGTCCGCAGGGGCCACCGGGCATACCTGAGCAGTGCCCCCCACTATGACTTCCCACGGTACCGGCAGCTGGTGCACGAGGTCACCGTGGCCTTCAGTGGCATCTCCCGGGAGGTGCTGGACATCGCCGGGCGCCTGCGGGATGAGCTCGGCCGCCCCGACCTGGCCCAGCACCTGGCCCGGCTCCAGGAGCGGGAGCAGGAGAAGCTGCAGCTGGTGGGTTCTGGCTTGGGGGGCGGTTCCTGGGGCACTGCTGGGGCTGGTTTGGGGGGTCTCAGCTCCCACGGTGTCCCCCTGCAGACGGCGCAGCTGCAGCTGGCCCGGCAGCAGGCACAGGACCAGCCCGAGGTGGACACCCATCAGCAGGAGGTGCAGGAACTCAAGCATAAGTAGGTGGTGGCCCCGCTGCTGTCCCCTCTCATTTTGGGAAGGCAGCATCCCCCTAGCCCAGGACCCCCTTTCTCCCCCCATTTTGGGATGGCACCCCCTCCCCAGCCCGCAGAATCCTGGAGTGTCCCGAGTTGGAAGGGACGCACACGGATCATGGAGTCCAGGCCCGGAGCCCCTTCCCTGTGTTCCCCCGCCCTCCCTTCGGCCCAGGGGGGCCCAGATGGTGCCTTCGGGGTCTGGCGGCGCTGCGTGGCCGCGTCCCCTCGGCCTCCCCGGGCTGAGTGTTTCATAAACAGCGCGGGGAAGGCGAGGCGGCCCACATAATACACTCCATATGGGCTTTATTTATAGTTTCCATCCGCTCTCGTAGGCTAATTAAAACCATTGAGGCAATCAGCGAAATTCTCCAGGACCTTAAGTACGATTCGGAAGAAGTTGAGTGATGGGTGTCCCCGTGGGAACGGCTGGAGGGGCCGGGCTGGTGGAACAGGGGCCCCGCTCATCCCCCACCCGCTCCCGGTGCACCTTGGCAAGGTGGGCATTGTCCTCTGAGCCCCTTTTGTGCAGCACAGGCTGGAAGGGGTGGGGAAACCCCCTCTGGGACAAGGTGGGGGTCCCCCTAAATCCTGAGTATCCCTCAGCAGAGGGGTCTGGCGTGGGGCTGGTTCCCCTTCCTGTTGTGCCGGGGCTGTGCCGAAGGCAGACCACACCCTGCAGTGCCAAGGGGCTGCCAAACTTCGGCCCCCATCGGGGTGGGCTCTGTCCCTGCTGCCAGCTGGGGTCCCGTGGGCAACAGCCACCCCAAAACCACATCTTGGAGCCCGGCTGCGGCCCCAGCCCCACTGCAGCTCCGGTGCTCCACAACTGCTTTTTTTATGGTCACCCCAAATAAACCTGTCCCCACGGAGCTGGCCTGAGTGGTGTGATCTCAAGGGTTCGTGTGGCCCCCAGTGCCGCCCCTTCCAGCTCGGCTCGGTCCCCTGGGAGCCCCGGGATGGGGTGACAAGGGCCACGGGCCCCATTTGGCTGCCCGCTGCATCCCCGTCCCCGCGCAGCGCTGCCGCTCCGCTGACGCAGACCCCGGTGGGGTTTCAGAGGTTTATTGGCATTAAGCTTAAATCTGTTCCTAATTGACTGAAATGGAACCAAAATAAGGCTGGTTTGAATCAAAACTGGAGCAGGCACTGGGCAAACCCCAGCAGCCTCCAATCAGCCCGCGTGGCTCCCCGGGGACGGACCCCCCCCGTGCACTCGCACGTGGGACCCCGGTGAGAAAACGGCCAAAATCGCTTCCCGGGGGGAGCTGCGGCGAGGGTGGGGTCACCCGGGAAGCCCCCGCCGCCCCTTTCATCCCAGGGGCTGCCGCGGCTGGCGGAGCGAAGCCCCCGTGCCTCCCCCGGCCGGGCAAGGCTGGGGGGTCCCCTCGCTGCCGCGGGGTCGCGGTCCCGCAGAGCCCCCGGGGCTGGCCCAGCCCGGCCCCCCGAGCTCACCCCACCCCATCCCCCAGGGCTGCGGGGCCGCGCTGAGCCCCGGCCGCCTCCCGGCTCCCCCGCGGCGGGGCCGGGGCGGGCGCGGGCGGTCCCGGGTGGGCGCCGGGCGCCCCGTCCCATCCTGCCGGCGCTCGCTCCCCCGCGGGCTACAGCTTATCGCCGGGAAGAACCTGCGGAAAGGAGCAGAGCCCCGCGTCGCCCCGGGGTCGGCGTCACCCCCCAGCATCCCTGGGGTGGGGGGTCACCCCGCGTCCCCCCCCTCCCCCCCCCCGTCCCCACCCAGCCGGGGAGAAGAAGTGCGAAAGGCTCCTTACCTACCTGGTTGCGTGTTTTGTGCGATTTCTGCAGCCACACGCGCCACTGGTCGTAGAGTTTGATGCCGAGGTTGGAGCAGCCGTAGGCGTGTTTCTTCACCCACCCGAAAAACTGCTTCAGCTCCCGCCGCAGCGTCGTGTTCTGCTCGCCCCCTTTGGGGTCGCAGCCCCCCGCCACTCGCTCTGCGGGGACAAGGGGGGTCAGTGGCACACGGGGGGGCCGCGCCCGAACCCCCCCCTCCCACCGCCGCCGTGCCGTGGGGAACACCAGCAGGTTTTGGGAAAGCCGAGCTCCAAATTGGCTCCTTTGCAAGAAATCCAGGTGCCGGGCACGGAGCGGGGAAGGGTCCCCCGAGCATCCCCCGGTGCGCGGGGAGGGGAGCGCGGCACCGGCGGGCGCTGCTGCCGGCACTCACCGCTGCGTGGGGTGGAGGCGGCCGTGGGGTTGCTCCAGTCGCTCCAGATGCCGGCTTTCTTGGAGCCGTAGATGCTGAAGGGATTACAGCGCACCTGGACGAAGTAGACGGTGCCGGGGCGCAGGCCGGCCAGGCGACACGAGGTTTGGTTGCCCACATCATCCACCACCTGCAGAGGGAGGAGATGGGAGCGCCCGCACCCCCGGCCACCCCGCGCCGCCCCCCGGCACCGGCGGCGCCCACCCACCTTCCACTCGGAGCTGTCCTCCACCCGGTATTGGATCTGGTACTTGGCTTGGAAGAGGAAATCCTTGAGGGCCGGCGGGGAGCTCCAGCGCACGCTCAGCTGGTCCTCCAGGTCGCCCACCCTGCTGACGTGCACGTCGGACGGGGGGTCCGTGGTCACTGCGGGGACAGCGCCGCGGGGCCGCGAGGGTTAAGGAGCCGCGGATGTAAAAGGCGCTCGGAGCAAAGAGCCTAATTCGATTAGGAGCAATTGTGCTCCCGTATCGCCCATTTCCTGCTGCCCCCAGCCCAGCGCGGCCCCTCCCCGCGAGGTCACCGGCACGGCGCGGGGCTCACCCACGTCCAGGATGTCCAGCATGACCACGTCGGACACGGCCACCCCCAGGCGGTTGGACGCCTCCACCCAGATCTCGTAGGGCGTGAAGAGGGCCAGGTCCTTGGGGATGTGGCAGGAGTAGGTCCCGGCCGTGTGGTATTCCTGGCAGGTGTTGTCCTGGCCGTACCACCTGCGGGCAGGTGATGGATGAGCTACCGGCACCGCTCCCCCGGCCCCGAGATGCTCCCCTGGGTCGCTTTTTGGCCGTTCCACGCCTCCAGAACTGCGGGACCGGCCCGGTGGTTCACCCAGCTCAACCAGGCCCGCAGCAGCTTCTCCTCACCCTCCCCAGCTCCGTGAGGAAACTCATCACAGCAGCACCACCCCCAGCAGGGGCCAGCCAGGAGGCATCGAGCTGCCCGTTCCCTGTTTCCCATTAAATTCCACTCCAGTATTTTGGAACAATAAATTGTTTTTAACCATGACGAGGATGAAGGTGAGCACCCACCTGCGCTTGTACTTGAGGGTGTAGTTGGTGTGCAGGAAAGTCTCCCCTTCTGTCCCCGGCACCCACTTGCAGGTCAGGTCCTTCATGTTTTTGGACCAGCAGGTGATGTTGACTGGTTTTTCTGGGGGTACTGGGAGAGACAAAAACCAAAAAAACAAGAGGTTCCAGAGCTGGTTTTCTGCAGCCACGGAGACAAACCCCAAATCCAAGCTGGTTTCCCAGCTGAGCCTCTGTGCTCCCGGGAACGCGTAGCGACCCAAAAAACAAACCCAAGCTGCATTCCCCGTTCTGATTCCATGTTCCTGGGACTTAGCATCGTCCCTAAAATAGCCCGAGATAAAATCTTACGATTATTGGTTCGGACAAGTGCGTTTTAACCGAGGCTTTTCCGAAACGGCCTCTCAGCTGTGCCTGGGTCAGGGTTCCACCCTGACACCCTGAGCAGCTCCTGGCGCACTTTGGTGAGAACCAGGGAGATCCGTGGGGATCCCTGGCTTCTCTCCCGTGGGGGAGGCGCATCCCGGGGCTGGCTGGAGGCTGGCACAGGGCAGCTGGACACCAGCAGCAGCTGGACCCTGGTACTGAGTGACCAGACCTTGGTACTGAGTGACCTCAACACGGAATGACCTCAACACAGAGTGACCTCAACACGGAGCGACCAGACCCCAGCCCAGAGTGACCCCAGCACAGAGTGACCCCAGCACAGAGTGACCCCAGTACAGAGTGACCAGACCCCAGCACAGAGTGACCCCAGCACAGAGTGACCCCAGTACAGAGTGACCCTGGCATGGAGTGACCCCAGCACAGAGTGACTCCAGCACACAGTGACCCTGGCATGGAGTGACCAGACCACAACACAGAGTGACCAGAGCCCAGCACAGAGTGACCAGACCCCGACACAGAGTGACCCCGGCAAGGAGTGACCCTGGCACAGAGTGACTCCAGTACAAAGTGACTGGACTCTGGCACAGAGTGACCCCAACATGGAGCGACCCTGGCACAGAGTGACCCCGGCACACAGTGACCCCTGCACGGAGTGACCCCAGCACGGAGTGACCAGAGCCCAGCACAGTGTGACCCCAGCATGGAGTGACCCTGGAATGGTGTGACCCCAGCACAGAGTGACCCGAGCCCAGCCCAGAGCGGCCAGAGCCCAGCTGGGATCAGCAGCACCAACGTACATCCAACATAAAGGCAGGAGCCGGCCAGGATGCCGCCGTCTCTGCTGTGACACACCAGGTTGTCCCCTGACTGCTGCCTGGAGCCGTTGAGGCGAGCGAGGGCCACGCTGAGCGTGGAGGGGCCCAGGGCAGCGTAGGACGCGGCCGGGAGGCGCCGCCCGTTCAGAGTCCAGTACAGATCCTCGGCTTTCAGCGGAAAGTCCGGGCTGACCGTGCATGTGGCCACCAGCGAGGAACCGATCAGCAGCGTGGGGTCTTGGGGGGAAATCACGGCGGGGTCTGCAGCCGGAGAGACAGAGAGCGAGGGGAAAAATCAATTATGGAGGGTTTGGTATTGAGCTAATGAGGTTAGAGCTGGTTGAGTATGTCTTAATGTCTATTTAAATACATTTTGTATCTGGTTTACATTGGTTTAAACGCCTTTATGTCTCTTCTGTATTCATTTAAATATGTTTTATAGCTGTTTAAATGCATTGTTTTGCTATTTTACATCGATTTGAATCATCATGTCTATAGCAATTTAATTCATCATATATGTTTTATATTAATTTAAATACATTGTTTAGCTATTTTACATCGATTTAAATCATCACAAGCCTATACTGATTAAATCACACATCTATTTTATATTGATTTAAATCATCACACATCTACTTTATATCAATTTAAACACACTGGTTTCCATTTTACATCATTTTAAATACACTGGTTTCTGTTCTGCATGTGTACATGTTTAAATGTGTTTCATATCTATTCTTTACTTCTGCACATTTTACATTCTTTTTATATCTAAAGACATTTTATATCTTTTATATCTATTTAAATAGTTTTTATATCTATTCTATATCTCAATACACACCTATTCTTTATCTATTTAAACACGCTTACACCTACTTTTATATCTACATACATTTTATATCTAAACACTTTCAATATCTATTTTTATATCTACATCTATTTTAGAAGATTGTAAGTACTTTTTATATCCACTTTTTATTTTTTAATTTATTTTATTTTTTCCCCCAGGGCTGGGGCGGGGCTGGGTTGCAGCTTCGGAAGTTTTTCCACGACAAAAAGATTTCAATCATTGGTTTCAATCCCCATCCCCCATCATTTTCCAGCACTGCCGAGGTCCGGAATTTCCCCCTGGATTGGGAAGCGCTTCCTCCTCACCCCCACCGTGCGCTCCCAAATCAAACATCCCCCAAATTCCCAGCCCGCTTTAACCCGAGACCCCTCGGCCACGAGGTTTCCCCTCCCGGCCCCGCTCCGGGGTGTTCCGTGTCCGTCAGTCCTTATCGGCTCCATCCGCACGCGCCGGGCTAATATCCCAAATTACCTCCCGGAAAGTGCCGCGACCTCCCCGCCCCTCCGACCTCCCGGCCCCGATCGGCTTTCAGCGCCCGGCTCCCACCCGGCGTTCCCCAAATCCCCCGGAGATCCTAAAGAGGGGTCCCCGCTCCGCCTCCCCACCCTCCGCAATTAGCGCTCCCAAATCCTCGTTAGACAGGGGAGGTTTAATTAGGAATTGCCGCCGTGCCTGGGGGATGCTGGCGAGGGGGGGAGTGAGAAAATCCAGCGGGGAAACGCAGCCAGGGACCCCCAAAATATCCCTGGATTGGTGGAGGACACCCCCAGGCACCCCGAGCATCCACGGGTGGGTGCCGGGCAGCCCGGGTCGGTACCGGGTACCCCAAACATCCGCGGGATGGTGCGGGATGCTCCGGGACACCCCGAGCACCCGCGGGTCGGTACCGGGTACCCCAAATATCCACGGGATGGTGCTGGATGCTCCGGGACACCCCGAGCACCCGCGGGTCGGTACCGGGTACCCCAAATATCCACGGGATGGTGCTGGATGCTCCGGGACACCCCGAGCACCCGCGGATGGTGCTGGATCCATCCCACCCCCAGAACAAACCCTTCCAGCAAGGCCTCCGGAAACCTCATCCCCCCTCTCGCCATCGAGCCCGGAGCTGCCGCGCCTCTGCCCACACCGGACCCACAACTCCGAGCCCTGATTCTCCTAAATCTTCACCCAAACAGCCCCAGAAACTCGCACGAGCGCAGTAAAACAGACACATTTCCCATCCTCCGAGCAGGACCCTCCGGAAGGGCAAATTTTCTCTCTCTCTGTATTTTTTTCCCCTGGATTTTGGTTTTTTTTTTTTTCCCTCCTCCAAGCAGAACCCTCTGGAGGGGCCAATTACAGACGTATATATATTATATTTTTTTTTCTCCCTGGAATTATTCCCCCCCCTCAGCGCGGCCACAGCGCAGAACATGTGTTTTAAAAGGGAAAAGTGTGAAGTTTTCCGATCGGAGAGGAAAGGGCCGGAGAGACGCAGGCAGGCTGTGGAATGTGCAAGTTGCAACGAAAATACCTGCTCGGGGGTTTTATGGCTTCTCTATTGCAAAAAAAAAATGCTGATCAGGTGCTAAGTAATGCTATAAAGTAAAACCACATTTCCAAGGTGTCGGGAACGTTTATGCTTTTCTTTCGAAGGGCCGGATTTCATTTTAGTTTTATATCGGAGTTTTAAGGGGTTGGGAAAGAAAAGGGGAGTGGAGGGGAAAAAAAAGGGGAAAAAAAGCTCCGATAAGTGTCAGAGATCACACGGTTAAAAAAGATTTATTGAGCTGTGCAGGGGGTTAAAGGAAAATAGAAATAATTGCCCTGAAGAACAAAAGGGAATTTGGGAAGCTCTGAATTCCACAGGAAAAATAAAATTAAATATATATGTGTAGTTAGAGCTCTTCTAAAAGTCGAGCAGCGAGGTTTGAGGGCAGACACGGTGCCCAAAAACGCTTTATCCCTCTTTTCTCCGCTGCTCTCCAGTCTTTTTTCCCCGTTTCTCATCCCCGACTGGCATTTCTCGTGCCCATCCCTGGGCTCGAGGAGGGATTTATAAAAAGCCCAGGCATTCCAGCGCGGCCGAGCTGCACCGAGGGGAAACTTTCGCTCTCTAAAAGGAGATTTTGGCTTCGCCTTCGCCAGCTCCGCACGTCGAGGGGCGGCGGGGCCAGCGCTGCCCCGGACCCCCGTGGGGAGGGGAGATGGGGGTCCCGGGGGGGGGACGCGGCTGATCGGGAGGAGAAAGGAGCGGGCTCAGCCCCAGCGAGGGTCCGGCTGTGGCCTCGTGTTGTTCCCGGTGGGATCGACCCCTCCAGGCACCGGGGTGGGCACCGGGGTGGGCACCGGGAGCCGCCGGGATCGGCCGCTCCCGTTAACGGCCCCTGAAGGGATTTTTGGAGCTTTCCCTTCTCCCCACCCTACGGCTCCAGTGATTCCTGCCCCAGTTCTCGCCCTCGGGGCTCCCCCGTTCGGGGCGGGTTGGGCTCAGGGGTCCGTGGCGGTGCTCGGGGAGGGGGCACGGGAGGTGCCGGGCGAGCGGTGCCGTTTGTGGCGGGTCCCGTTCGCGCGTCGGGAGCGGAGAACATCCATCGCCTTGAGAAATTCCCATCATAGGGAGGAAGCCAAACTTCCTGCTGCGGGGAGCGGGATCTCGCCCTCCCCTGGGCGCAGGGGGGGCAGCGGGGCGGCGGCCGGGACCGCGGGTTCCGTCGGGTTTTGGGCGCTGTGTGGAAGCGGAGACCCCTCCCCGGTGTGTGTCCCCCCCCTCCGGTGCCGGCGGGGCTGAGGCCGCTCCAAGGCTCAGCCCACAGGTGGCACCTCCCGGACCTGCCGCCCCCCAAACCGGGCATCGCAGCAGAGCCCCCCAGGGGGATTTGGGTTTTTTTTGGGGGGGGTCGTTGTCCTCCGTGGGGCGGGGAGGGAGATCCTCATTGTTCTGGGTGGGAAAAGGGGATTCATTGTTCTCTGGGATGGGGGGGCGGCTCTCAGGCGGGAAGGGGGGACCCCGTT